ATTATACGATTTAAAGAGCATAAACCTTCTTCAACCAAATTTAGCTTTTCCTAGACTATAGACCCGCCTATAGTCCATAGACTGGCACTCGCTCCCACCCAGGCCTCGAATTAAGCGACGAGAGGGGCAAGGCAATTTTTTGGGGGCATGTGAGAAATTGCCTTGAATTTTCTCTAAAGTGGATGGGCACCGAGGCAATTTTAAAAAGCATCAAGGCAACTCTCACAATTTGAGAAGGGCACCAAGGCCATTGTTATGGAAAACTTTGTGTCATCATATGAATAATCAATTCTACTAAAATTTCTCTAAATTTACTGCACTTAGCAAGCTACACACCGTACAGATCACTGGCCATTCTTGCGCGAGCGTCGTTTCCCGCGCTTTAAATCGCGCGCGGGCCGAGTCCGGGCGTGCAGCATTTAAATATTCGTGTTCTACCACCGGCCTACACAGGTGCACAATTTATCGATCGTCTACTGGCAGTGGTTGGCAGCAATACCACGTTATTGTTTTTGCCGAAGGATAGACTGGTATACGGCCTCACGCTCTGCTAGACAATGTACACGCTCTGCGACAAACAGTGCGGCCGCGAACCAGTCTAGCCAGAGGCACCGATGGCAATTACAGAAAAGGGCAAGGCAGGTCACTGCCGTCGGTCGGGTTGGATTTTCAGGGGCAGTACGGCGATTGATAGGGGCACCGCCGGCAATTGCCCTCGGTGCCGTCGGTTAATTCGAGCCCTGCTCCCACCTCTCGGCTTAGCTTAGTCACTCGATGGGTAATCGAGGTGGGAGCGAGTCCCAGTCTATATAGCCCTGATTCTGACAGCCATTTACATTACTGTGGAAGGTTCGCGAACGCGAGAATTTCGTCAGTCTTTGTGATTTCGCGTGACACAGCTCGGTTACGAACAGAGACAGTATGTTTTTATAACAAGTGAACACTGTTCTTGACATAGAAACAAAGATGGCAGCTGTTGGATGTGTATTCCTGCTGTGAAAGTGTGAAATCCAGCGAGCGTCGAGAGAATTTTGCGATCCCGCTTTCCTACCTGCTATATATAAGTGTAAGCGTGCAACAGTCGCGCCGCGAAAGCAATGGTGCCGGCAGCGTATATGGGTTGACGTAGGATTTGGACAGAATTTACAGGAAACTGTCAGCAATAATAGGTGAAAGAGACTATAGAAACATTAAGAATTTGGTAGTAAATAGATTTCGTATTTAGTTAGCATTATATTTTATTGAAATGCTTCAAGTGCCTGTGGTAGTAGTACTTTGTTAATGTTATTGTTAAAGCCGCACTATGCACATCCAAACGCTAATTTCTCCAGTACTAGACTAGCAAATATTTCGTGTCATGCATAATCACACTACCTTATGGCAAAATAAACTCTAGTTCCTCCCATTTCACTGCGCGTTTGCTTAAAACCCACAAGAAAGAGGTGCGAAATCTGGTAATCTGGTGCCAACGCTAAATTGTTTGCCAAACAATTTCGCCAAGAATCGGTTAGGTGACGTCACATGTTTTTATCTTTCCTACACCCGTACCGCTGTACCGCAGCACCGCTCCACGGTTGCTTGAGAGAGCAACGCAAAAACTGTCAACAACATCGGAGAATTTGAACAACATTGGAGGTATTTTCAAATGCCTTTTATAAGACAACGCGCAGTGAAATAGGAGGAACTAGAGTTTATTTTGTCATAAGGTAGTATGATTCTGCATGACACGCAGTATTTGCTAGTCTAGTACTGGAGAAATTAGCGTGTATATGCGCATAGTGCGGCTTTAATAATACGCAGTGGCTACGGGTACGGTAGCCGTCGGTCGTTAAAGCCCCTTTTTGGCGTTAGGGTTAGGGTTAGGATTAGGGTTAGGGTTGGGTTTAGGGTTATGGTTAGGGTTAGGGTTAGGGTTAGGGTTAGGGTTCTAGTCATCTAAACTCTCAAATCTCTGAATTATTTTCCCCAATGCTTTATTTCGAAATCTAGCCGCACCGCGCCATACTTTGTCTCGTTAAGTATGAAAGCGAATGGACTCCCGTACCCGTACGTCTCGAGACATTAAGATACGGCTACCGTACCCGTAGCCACTGCCTTAATGATATATTATTACGAAACCTCAATTTAGGAACCGTAGCTATCAAGCTTATTATATTACTATTAGTATTAGTATTACTAATACTATTACTATTAGTATTAGTATTACTAATACTATTACTATTAGTATTACTATTAGTAATAGTATTAATATTATTAGTATTACTATTACTATTACTAGTATTACTATTAGTATTACATTAGTAATCGAAAATAATGCTTGACAGTTGCGATGAAACATAACAAACAGCTATCAACGCAAAAAAACACACCAGATAGTAGACTACTAGACAGTATTACTATTAGACTATTACTATTAATACTATTACTATTAGTATTACTATTAGTATTACTATTACTATTAGTATTACTATTACTATTACTTAGAGCAGTGAAGATGAGCATGCATGTCTAGACTACGCCAATCCTACCGAACAATAATAGCATGACTCCCGCAGCAAGTCCCCTTCTGCGGACTAGATATGGTATTCACAATCGGTGTGTGGCTTCTTCGATACATGTACTGTCCGTGGTGTTCGCCTATAATAAAACTGTCATAGGGTTTGCCTAAATTTTCTCGCTTCCATGACAGCCTTAGCTCCGGTCACCGCCATTGCTGTCTGGCGTCTGGTCAGGTCACACCGGAAGATAAATGTGCTGCCACCTGTTATTCGTAAATGTGCATTTTGCTTCTCATTTTGAATCAATCTACATTTATTAGATTATTATATATATAAAATTATATATATATATATATATATATATATACGGTATATATACGGTATATATATATATACGGTATATATATATACGGTATATATACTACATAACTCTCTCCCCTTCATGATTATGCACTACTATTTGAGCAACGTAAATATTTTCTTTATGAACTCGAATATAATCAAATCAATCATGAGGGAATAGGTCACGACCTGGTCTACATCACAACTAGGCTATCAAGAGCTGGTGCCATGCATAAGGGGATCTGAATCATCGACGTCGTCAGTTGTCGTATTGCGGCATGCAGTAGATGCACTGATGACACCGGCGGCGAGTCGTGGGGTTAAGACGAACCAACCATGACTAACCTGTTATGTAATTAATATTGTTTCACTGAGAGGAATCAATGGTCACAGGTTTGTGACAAAATGCGCGCGGCCGCCCGCCCGCACGGCGAACGCACGTACCACAATGGTACCACCTATTAACACACAAGCGCGAGAGCACGCAAACAGACTTACACCATAGCTTGCACTAACGCGCGCGTGTCTGCAAGCGTGTGTGCGTTTCTTCGACAGACAGACGGACGGGCGAACGGACGGGCGGTCGGCGGCACGGAAGAACGGAGCAGCGGACGACGGGACGGTACGGACGGACGGACGGACGGAACGACGGAACGACGACGGACGGACGGACGGACGCACGGACGGACGCGACACGACGGCGACGGTACGGACGGAACGGAGGATGGACGGACGGAACTGACAAACGGAACGGAAAGAGACGGAAACGATATGACGGACAGACAGACAGACAGACAGACAGACAGATCAGACAGACAGACGAGAGAGAGAGAGAGATGAGAGAAAGAGAAGACGAGGAGACAGAGGAGAGAGAGGAGAAGACGAGAGAGAGAGAGGAGAGAGACGGAGAAGAGGGAAGAGAGTAGAGGAGATAAGAGAGAGAAAGAGAGAGAGAGACCGAGCGAGAGAGAGAGGAGAGAGAGAGAGAGAGATAGAGAATAAGAAGAGAGAGAGGAGAGGAGAGAGAGACGAGAGAGAGAGAGAGAGAGATGTAGGAGAAAGAGAGAGAGAAGCGGAGAGAGAGTGAGAGAGAGACGAGAGACGAGAGAGAGAGAGAGAGAGAGCACGAGAGAGAGAAAGAAAGAGAGAGAGAGATGAGAGAGAAGAGAGAGAGAGAGAGAGAGAGAGAGCGGCGATGAGAGCGTAGGGACGGATTATAATACATATGTATAATAATATATATATATATATATATATATATATATAATGTATTATTCTATATATATTTATATAAATATAGTATTTATTTATATATTAATTTATTTTATTTATTTATTTTTTACTCGCACTGCCTCACCGCAAATTGTCTCCACAAATTCTGTTGTATTACTGTTCGGACTGTACTCATCTCTCAATCTCTCTCTCTTCTCTCTCTCATCTCTCTACTCTCTCACCGCGCTCTCGCTCTCTCTCTTCTCTTTCTGCTCTCTCTCTCTTCTCTCTCTTGCTCTCCAGCTGCGCATCTCCTACCCTCTCGCTTCTCGCTCTCTCTCTCTCTCTCTTCTTCTCTCTCTCTCTCTCTCTCTTCTCTCTCTGCTCTCTCTCTCTCTCTCTCTCTCTCTCATCTCTCTCTCTCTTATATATATATATATATATATATAGAACTATATATATATTTATATATATATATATAATATATATATACTAGTGGGACTACCGGCGAATGCCGCCGGATTTTAAAGAGCCTATAATTTCAGTCTTGCTATGACGGCTGTACCTGATTTATTCGATTTTATAAATCTGTGCTAAGATTTCACTATCTGGTCAGTGTTTCTGCAGTGTTCTTGGCTACAACAACATTCTTGGTCTTGCCATCTCGAGAAAAGGATGTAGAGGTTGTCTGAGTTAACCCATCCTGGGCACCCCCACATATAGAGCTGGCCATGCGAGACACTGGCTCACTGGACGTTGAAGTCCAACCACCTGAGGGACTGGCCTGGGGGCCTTGTTTGTATTGGAATGGCAAGCTTAGCTTGCACTGGACAACTGCAGCCTCTTGAACTGAATGGCAGGTCGGATGGGATGAGCGGCGATTCCTATTGGATGAAGACATTTTCGCCTTGCCTTCGAGGATGGCTTCTTGCATCAGCCAGTTCTTGGTTCTGGTAGCGTTAGGTGGGAGGATTTGGGAGACTTTGGTCATCAGGCTGGCTGGATGTCCGTCGCTGTCGTTGGCTGAATGGCCAGCTTACTTGGCCATCAGCTTGTGGTGGTGAGTCTGCTATTGCCAACGCTCCAGCAGTTCCTGAGAGAAGCGGCAGTTCTTCATCGCCACTGAGCTGCACCCTCATGTGGGTCTTTCAGGCTGTGGCGGTTCACCTCGCTCCAGAGGTACGACGACTTGATGCAGCATTGACAGCATCTGCTCTTGTTCCATTTGGCCTAATGAACTTCCAGGTTTGGCGAAAGTCGCCTGGAGCAGGCGGCACACCTTCTCATGACGTTTTGTGTTGTGCGAAGTCTTGGTAGGGTGTTGTCAGAGTGTCTTCCAAAGGCGGCTTTGTGGGTCATGGTTGCCTCGTCCGCAGATAATGAGCTTGCACTCTTTTATGAACAGGCTTGGCCTTTGTTGGAGCACGGCTGATGTTTGCAGGTTGGATTTTGCACGCCTTTGCCAGGTTGATGGCAGCTTGAAGGTCGAGTGAGCAGTCGCGCCTCGTCCTAGCCAGGCGTGGCCAGCAATGCTGCTTGATAGCAGACTGCCAAGGCAATTCTTCCTCGATCTTGCCTGCCTTGGCCAGAAGAAGGTTGGTAACGAAAACGGTCTTGTGATTCCGCCAGGAGTGGTCAAAGAAAGAATGGCAGGCGCTACGGCTTTTTTTGTCCAAATTATATTTTTGTCAAATTTTGGGTCAAATTTTTTTGGTCAATTTTATTTTATACCTAAAATGGTCGTGGTTCGGCGTCATGCTGAATTCAGAATATATATGAGTGTTAGGGGTGAACTCTTACGATGGGGGAGAGATAGACAGACAGACAGCACAGGGACAACAGACACAAAACATCATAATATATATTATATATCCGCTCTCTCTTTCCCTCTTGCCATGTCTCTCTGTTTCCGTTTGGCTCTCTCACATGTCTTCTTCTAGGTGCCTTCTTTGCTGTCTTTTTCTGTGTGCCTTCTCTTCATCTGCAGGCCTCCATCTCTCTCTCTCTCATCTCTTTTTCTCTACTCTCTTCTCTCTCTTTCTCTCTCTCTCTCTCCTCTCTCATTCATTCCTATGCTATCCCGTCTCGTATGGTCACAAAAACTACGCTTGGGTCTACAAAAACTACACTAACGAGGCAATAATTCCAGTGGAATACACTCACATACGACAGACACAAAAAAGGGGCACACATATATATATGCCATATATATACATTAATATATTGCACAATACGGGGCACATCTGAGTTTTAATAAATATTTTTTATCCACCGACACGCGTTTAGAAGACGATTTTCACTCCTAAAATGTATGCTGTTGGGCTTTTGTGCCTCAATCAACTAATATTAATTTACAATATTTCCATCGTTGCTTAATATTGTATTTTTTAAAATTATGTTAATATTGGGTGCCTTTTCAGAGACTGCGGACACTTTGATGTACTCAAGCGACGAAAGGAACGTCATTCTTTAGTCGCCCGCCACACTAATGCTGCCTAAAATTCCAAAGCAGTGAATGACTTGGATTACGGTTCCGTTACCAGTTCTGTAACAAAGGTTGGCCACGTTTACTCCGCGATTCTATTATATTTGCTTTTAAATTGAACCCTGTAACCCTGTCACACTAGAGCGTATAGCTTAACGTATGCCCAGCGTATGCAGCTTTTTGCCAATACGCTTTGGTGTTACGATTGATATACGTTAGCGAGAGAGGCAAGAGAGAGAAGAGATGAGCTGAGACTCTTCGTTGAGAGAGACGAGAGAGAGAGAGAAGAGAGGGAGAGAGAGAGAGAGGAGAGAGAGCAAGAGAGATGAGAGCCGACGAGAGAGAGAGATGAGAGAGAGAGAGATAGAGATAGAGAGAGGAGAGAGAAGCGAGAGAGAGAAGAGGAGAGAGAGAATTCTT